CATTAGCGATGGGGAAATCCGCATCGCAATGCGGATTCATCGTTCAACAGTGCGCTCGTTATGCGAGGCACCACTGTATATCAACTGTACATGTAACGTTAACTGATTGCACAAAGAGGCTCTAAGCTCTACCCTGGAAGTATTTCTTTTTTCCTGTGAGAAAAAAAACCCAGTCCCTTTTTAATGTTTAGCATTCTGGTCTCACATCTTTATGCTCTCAGGTAAGTGGCCCCAAGACAACACAGGTGTCCTTTGTACCTTGAATCCAAGGGCTTCAGACAGTTCTTTGGCTTTGCTATCCCGAGAGCAGTTCCCAGCATTGGTTACAAATGCAACAGGCACATGGAACTGGCCTTTTGAATTTGTTAGTTTCTGGAAGGCTTTCTTAGCAGCAGGAATGACAAGCCGGCCCCGTAAAAGCACTCCATCGATATCAAAGAGGAATCCAAAGGAAGGAGAACTTGTCTGCAGTGGACAAACAGGAGACGAAATTGGGATAGATCACATAAGTGTTTAGAAAAACACATTAATAGCCCTAAAACATTGGCAGCTCATGGCTTAAATGGGGGTGACAGCCTCACACAGACATTTGGACCATGAGCTGTCATGTTCAAAAGGAAAGACTTCCAAGAAAAGACAAAGTGGGACAATTTGGCATTTTTTACTTACTTGTTTAATAATAATAATTAAGAAGAAAGAGTTAAAATGTACATCAGTTTCAGAAAATGCTCTCAACTAAACATCTCCAGTATTCAAGAAATTCTTATGAAACCTAATAGTGTCTTTACCTGAAGGAATAGGACTTACTCAAATTTTTTAAAGTCCAGGAATGCTGTATACATTCCAAGTTCCCAAGATTGGAATGAAACCATTAAACTATAAATGTAATAATAACTCAAGGGCCCATTACAGAAGGAGGTACTAGAAACTATCATGTGTAAAACAGGACAACAAATCCAGCAACTTTTTTTAATAGACTTGTTATCTACAACCACTGAACACCAGATAACCTTCTTGTCTACAGGCAGCTGCAGAGCATCTTTGAATCAGGCATCCTTCGTACTTGAACAGTCCATACATAACTCATTTGCCTAGTCTGGAAATACTGTATGAGTTCCACCTACTAAACTGTCAAGTAAACAGCTTTATGGAGTGTGTTGCTTTTACTACTCTGATATGTTTTCCTCCAAATACTGCACTATACCACTGGTTTTGAAATGTATCCATGGAGTGGGAGGGGGACTATAGATCTGGGGGAAAAAACTCTACTAGCATGGAGATCTGGTTTTCTTGACACTTAAATAGCCTTTGGCAGCGACATTGTTCCTAGTAGAAACAGTCAGCACAAGGAAAATCATATTTTCCTGACATCACCTGCACACCTTCTCTTCCAATGTCAAGAGTGGCACCTGTCTGTGATAAATAAGCAATCCTATAGCATCTGAAAGGCAACACATGTATTGTGCAGACCAGAAATATGAAAAATGTATGCTAAAAAAGTTTGTAATTTTTATTACAATTTGTTAATAAATATTAAAAAATATGTTTCTGCATCAGTACTATCAGTATAATATTGTTATGGAATAAAGACCAGCATGATCTACTACTTTTTCTTAAGCATTTGTACTACACCACAGTAGTGTTTTTCGGCTCTAGGCTGTCTAAAAATTAATAACCAAACAAGAGCACCCAAACACATCTGAAAATAGGTAGCAAAACAATAGAGAACCAAAACCAAAACCAAATGTTAAGGAAAAAACAAACAAACCAGGGACTGCCCAAAGTCTAAGTGAAATAGAATGTTTTTAACAACTTGCCTAAACATCCTCCTTCTTCCACATAAGAAAGAGAAGAATGTCATTGATAAGGAATCATTGATATGGAAGTCTAATCTCCCATCTCACCACTGTATAATCCACAGGAGACTGTAGAGTCAGATCCATATGGGCCTTATCTCAGTTTGTCTAGTGACTGTCCAATAGGCCTTCTTAATTGCAATTAACTGTTAGTCAGCGAAGTTTTCTAAGGATTCATAAGGCGAAATCTTTACAGGAAACTTTGGCTGGAGCCTGTCCTCGTCATATTTTGAATCAATTACAGCAGCCAAACGACTGTTCATAGGCAGCCCCACATATATATATACAGTAACTTTCCAGTTAAAACTGCTGCAACGTGTGTGTGTGTGTGTCTATACACACACACGTTGCAGCAGTTTTAACTGGAAAGTTATGTTTGGAGCTCTCATCCTGTGAGGCATTACGTGTAAGTCATTGCACACTTCCAGATGGTTACCCTACTTACTGATCCTTTCCTACAAAACCTCACTGGGCACCTCCCGTTCTGCACTCCACGGGAGGAGCCGAGGCCCCGGTCGGCGATCCCCGGGCGTGGGGAGACACGTGTTGCAGGAGGATCTCAACAGGCCAAGGGGAGCGGGGGGGGGAATGCAAGCTGCCAACTCGATTCCCCACCAAAGGTCATCGGAGGACAAGAAAGGGAACGGCCAAAGGGCACAAGCGCTGGGAAGGAGATCGGGGCGGGGGGGAGGAGGCTTCGCTCACCTGATGCACCCCACAGGCTCTCCCCACCAGACGGCTATAACAGTTACTCCTGGAGAAGGGGCGGCTGCTGCTGCCTGGAGCACCCCTCTGCCCGACGCCGACCGGCAGCGGCGGCAGCAGCAGCCACGTCCTCAGCGCTGCTCTGTTCCCATGGGCCAGGCAGCCCAGAGCCATCCGCCTGCCTGTTTACGCGTCTTCCCATTGAGGCGGCGGCCGCCGCGCATGCGCTCACCCGCCCCGCCCCATTTCATGCGTGCAGCCAATCAGAGCCTGGTGTGTCACGTGGGTCGAGGAGGAGAGCCGCGGCTCCCGGGGCGGAACTGAGGAGGCGCTACAGTCCCTCCTCCAGGCGTCTGGTGGCGCCTTAAAGACGGTCCGTTGTTGTTGCTGTGTTTAATAACGGCGGCGGTTTTCCATGGACACCTAGTTGTCCTTTAGCCTTTAAGATGGCGCTTTTCGAACAGGTAGCGGTGCTCGTCCGTTTCAACAAACACAAATCCGGATCAAAAGGACAGTGGCTCCTTTAAAGCTGACACGTGTATGCCAGTGAAAGGTTTTCGTGAACTATAATCCGCTTTTTAAGACGTGAATGTGTTTATGTTGATAAGGCAACTTTGTTGTTTTTATAATTCCTTTTAAAAAAAATGACGAGACGTGCACCCCTCTTGGTTGCTACACAGAAAATTAGTCCAGGGTAGATAAAAGAAGCCAAAACTTCAAACAGGAAAATTATCGTCATAACTTTCTATGAGTCCACGTAAGAAAACTACCTGTTGGCTTTCGGGTTTCACAGAACACTTTGTCAACTTGGATGTTAAAACAAAAACGGAGGGGAGAAGAACACATAAACATGCTTTTCTCCCTCGTGTCCATTTCCTCCTTAAGAGTACTGTACTGTGAAACTTGAAAGTTAGTTCCCTGTTATATGAGTTGTTTTTGTGAAAGCATGAAGATGATGTATTTCCTACTAACACATCTCACCAAGAATACATAGCTAAATTCACCAGTTGCCACAAAAACAATTGAGGAATCTCTTGTGGAACCTTAGACTGTTAATAGGTTTATTGTTGTAGAAGCTTATGGTGGATCAGAATTTCATTGAAGATGTACTTTAATATAGATGTATTAGCTTTCATTAGCTCCCAATAAGAAGTATTAAATTACTTCTTTGAGGTATTTTGGTACTTGTAGTTCCATTTTCATTGACTTATATATGTGAGGGGTAGCCTATTTAGGAACTACATCTCCCACAATGCAAAACTCCCTGCTCACCAGTGCAGGCAGTGGGCAATTGGACATTATTGACAGGGTTATTATTTCACAGTTTCAGAAACAAACAAAAAGTCCTGAATGAGATGATGGTTTCTTTGTTCTGTATTGGCAAAGTAGGTGGTTGGAAAATGGCTCTTATATTAAGAGGAATGAAAGGTAAACAATTAAGAGCTATGTTTTTTTTAAAAAAGACTCAGTGAAGTTGGAATGAGAAAAAACAAAATTATCTTGTTATTTTGGCAGCAGATCCAGTGCAGGCAGTGGGCAATTGAACATTATTGACAGGGTGGAAGTACATATTATGTCAAATTTCACAGTTTCAGAAACAAACAAAAAGTCCTGAATGAGATGATGGTTTCTTTGTTCTGTATTGGCAAAGTAGGTGGTTGGAAAATGGCTCTTATATTAAGAGGAATGAAAGGTAAACAATTAAGAGCTATGTTTTTTTTAAAAGACTCAATGAAGTTGGAATGAGAAAAAACAAAATTATCTTGTTATTTTGGCAGCAGAAAATGGCATATTTAGTTGGGCTATGGAATATACTTAGTACTGCTTTAAAACAGTTTGGGGCCAAATCACTTTATGGTCCCCAGCTGGGTCTCTTTTTACTCCCTTGGAAGTACAGTGGACCCTTGACTTACAGACGGCTTGACTTACAGACTTTTTGAGTTACAGACTTCTCTGGCCGCAAAATTTAGGTTTGACTTGCAGACTGAGAATTGACTTACAGACCAGAAAAAAACCAAAATGGAACAAAAACGGCCTGCATTTAGTTGGGCTATGGAATATATTTAGTACTGCTTTCAAACAGTTTGGGGCCAAATCACTTTCCTTATGGTCCCAAGCTGGGTCTCTTTTTACTCCCTTGGAAGTAGTTTAAACAAGGTTTTTGAGAGCTATTGTCCAAGAACCCCTCTGGTATTCAAATGTAGTTGGAGGTGGGATATCTAAAGATTGAAACTAGGGATCCGTTACATATCTTTAAATTTTATCTGAGGCTAATCCCCACCCCCACAGAGGTTTAACCCCTTTAATATTACAGGGCATTTATTGCCCATATGGAAGGAAACTCTACCTGCTAAACTCAGAGGGTGTGGCTTTTCTGTGATATGCCTTGTTCAAATGAGATATGATGCAGCTAGATTAGCTATCAGACAATATATCACGAGGGTTGAGAAGCCACATGATCTAGGTGAAGCCTGAGACAATGATGCAGTAAGCAGTTGTTAAGGTTTCAGGAAGCAAATGCTGTTACATTTGGAGATGTAATTTGACCTTCTTAAATATACTGCAGTTGGCTGAGGAAAATTGGCACCAGCTGGGTCTCAAGAGCATAACTTTTATCTTTGTGCATTTAAAGGCCAACTTTAGGGGGGAGCAAACAGCCTCCATTATTCTACCTGCAGACACCCATAGTTCTTTTCCTATAAGAAGATTTTATTTTATTTTAGGAATTAGTACATGCTTTTAACAGGTTTCCAGGGCCGCTTACAAAACATTAAACTAAAACAATCCTGTACACATTTATCTGAGAAGTCCTTTTGAGCTCAGTGGAATTTGCTTCTGAGTAGATTGCAATATGAACAAATAAACAAAAACAAAACATTAAAGAAATAGAAATAAAGTCACAATCACAGCAGGCTCAAGTTTTTTAAGTGCTTCATTCCTTGTCTCCCTCATAACTGGTCCATGTTTAGCCAGCCCAACCTTAACACACATCATGATGTCTTAGAGCAGGGCAATGGTATTATCACAGATCTTGCCTTTTCCAGTATGTTATGTCAGTTGATAAAATATCAGCAAGGAAGTTTTGGGTGTAGCCACTGTGTTTCAGTAATATAGTGCAAAGGTAGAAATGAAAGATGTAGTATATTTGGGGGAGGAATTTCCATGAGTTTAAAAAACTGAATGTTATGTTTTCTTTGCTACAGGTTTTAGGCAGACAAATGTTCTGTGTATTCATCTCAAAAATGAAGACTGTAGACAAGGCAAAAAGTAGAAGTGTGGAGATTTGTGGTTTTGGAGTCAGTTTGGAAACACATATACTGTACCATGCATCTGCCAGGAAGCTAAGTTTGGACACAGCTCCTCACTCTGTGCGTGCATGTGGTCAAACACATGCTTGCCACCAGATAATGTCTCAGGTTGCCCTATACTGTATTTCTGTACTAACTGGGCCCTGATATGGATAATCTCTATAATAATATCTATAATAGCCATTCAATTCGAGTGTTCTTCTGGTCTGCCAGAAGAGGTCACTTTTGTACTACAGGAAAATGCAGACTCCCTGATGCTATTCTAATAGTTTTGCTGACCATGGTGTTGCTTGGTTTGAAAAAGCCTGAATCAACTAATTCCGTGACTTAACTTATTCCCTTCCATTCTCCTGTAAACAAGATTGTTAATACTAAATGAACATAGCTGCTGATGTTAAAAGACTGTCTAGAAAAAAGAGGAGGGGAGATCTATCAGATAGACATATACCTGCAAGATAAGTTTTTTATTTGCAAATTATAACTAATTTATATTGTTACTTATTTCTAAAATAGATGTCCTACTTTTCTTCTGAAACAGGAACTTGGCACAATGGACAATATATCTTGACAGCTATCACTTTTTTTCAGATAAGCAAGAAATAAACTAGAGACACAATCAATCCAAATTTAAACCTTTAGAATCTTGATTTTCAGTGACAATGATTTAAATGCTTAACATTACAAACCTGTGTAGTCTATTTAGAAGTAAATTCCATCAAATTCAATGTGTCCTATATGGAGTATGCTCAATTGGATCCAGTAGGATTTGCTGATGTTAGGAAGTTAGGAAAGTGTGAAGGCAAGAGGAATAGGATTTGCTGACGTTAGGAAGTCAGGAAAGTGCGAAGGCAAGAGGAGAAGGGGACAATAGAGGATGAGATGGTTGGACAGTGTTGTCGAAGCAACCAACATGAATTTGACCCAACTCTGGGAGGCAGTGGAAGACAGGAGGGCCTGGCGCGCTCTGGCCAATGGAATCACGAAGAGTCAGACACCACTAAACAAATAAACAACAACAACAGGATTTGCTTGCATAAGATTATCACGAAGAGTCGGACACCACTAAACAAATAAACAACAACAGGATTTGCTTGCATAAGATTGTACTGTAATTAACATTCAAGTCACAAGGCACTTCAAAATGTTTGTCTTTGGTTGTAGTTTGTCTTTGGGTTTTGTAGTGCTGATTTGATGATGGTAAAAGTTACAGCAACTCCAAGCAGAAGGGAAAAAACCCAAGTATTGCAGATCAACATCCATTATTTGAAAACCCTGATCCCCTTTTTATTGTTCTTTTATGCTATAAATTTAAAGCATGGTTCTTTGTATTTGTCATTTTTAAAAACTATTTGTAACACTTATATCTGCCACTGATCACATGTGATCTAGTTTCAGATCAAAATAGTCAGCTGAAAAGTAGAAACATCAAAACCCGTAGTCCCAGATCTTGATACCCACCCAATCTTTCAGAACATACAGATGCTCACAATTTCTCTCCCACTTTTACTCCATGAAATAAAATATTTTTACTGTACCAGCAACATCACAATTTCAGGTTGGCAAAGTAGGAGAGACAAGTAGATTAAGATGTATTGTGAGAATTAGCAACTCTATCAAGATGCGTATTTTTCCTTGTTGTTAGCAAAACATTCAATTCAACACAGAGTGTTTTAAGCATTTACTGCCTACAGATCACATCAATAAAAGGAAATGGAACTGGCATGGGGTAAGTGTCCTCTGAGGCTCCTAAAACACTGGTCTGGAATGGCTCCTTTGATGTTTGAAGAAACAGCAGAGGGGGGGGGACACTCATACTATATTTGCAGGGTGAGGGTGATTTCATTCCCATTACTCCACATGACTAATGTGGAGTTCAGCCTTCTTGGTAATGGAGGTCGGGGCCGCTGAGAGAATGAA